ACATCACTCTGATCTCTTCCTCTTTTGGCCTCCTTCTTCCACTTTTGAGGATCTTGTGATTTTGTTGGATCCACCTGAATCAGCCAGAGTAATCTCCCTATCTGTTAGCTGACTGGCAACCTTAATTCCCCTTGCTAGGTATCTTAACATATCCACAGGTTCTGGAGTTTAGAACGTGGCCATCTTTGGGAATGATGATTACACCACCGCAGGCTTGAATGAGGGTGAGGGGTGCAGTCTCTTCCCAATTGTGCTCCTTCCTTTATGTGGCTCCCAGTAGGGACTATGCCTCAGAAGTAACTGGCTTGGGGACCTACCACCTGGTAAGGGCACCAATTGCATCTGCTAGCTGGGGAACTCCAGCCTGGATTACACTTTCTCCTCCAGGTCAGACATGATTCTATGAATACACTGCTTGGTGCCTGGAGGGCTGCTTTGTGCCATTTGAATCACAAAGCCAAGCAATGCTCTGGGCTCTTGGAGTTCTTGTGACACTCCCAGCAAGGAAGGAGGGCTCCATCTGGCAGGCTGCTCAAATACCAGGTTGCATAGTAACATTCTCACACCATGAGACACTCCTTGAGAGAGGCCTCCCAATTCAAGCTGAAACTGGGACGCCTCTGAGTGCCAAGGCACTGGATGCAGCCTGAGAAGTCTGTACAGTGACTCTGAATCCTTCACTGAAACAGCAGCCTCAATACTTAAAACATTCATAATTTGGAGGGTAATGAAAAACATAACAAGAAGGAAAAGAAAAAACAGTCTCTCCTTTTGCTTGGTTTCCTGGCACAAAGGTTGAGAGCGATTTTCATTTCATTCACGTCTCAGGCTGACTCTTTACTACACAGCATTTGTTTTTTGTCTATAGAAGGTTTGAAGTAATTTGGCCTTATTGCCTAAATTAATAAAAAGCACTGAAGTTCAGTATGTTCTAACAGCTTGGAAGAAAGTTACCAAGTAGTTCCAAAGTCCTCCACCTGATCTAATGTCACGCCAAGCCTGATTTCTGTCCCCCTTTTGTTCTCAATGACATTTATGTGACCTTGGGATGATATTCAAGAAGAGCATATAACTGACTCAGACTCAGGCTGTTGTGTGCTAAAACACAGGTGGGTAATGGAAAGGACGAGAAGGACAGTGGGGCTTTGCAGTCACCAAGAAAGGGACTCAGAAGTGGAAACTTTCCCAGAGCTGAGGTTTTTGCTTTCAAAGCTCTCACCTTGCTGGAGTTCAGGAACTTTTGATGGATTCTGAGGACAGCAATCCATGTAGGAACTGGTGGGAGCTCAATGAGCCAGTTGACTGTCTGTTAGCCCAGTCTCTTGGCCCTCCTTGCCACATTTCTTCTTCTTCCCTGTGTGCCAGTTTAGAGACCTCCATGCCAAAGCTCCCTTTTTCTGTCTGTTATCTGGGGCCTACAATGTGCAATAAGCCACTCCATTTGTCCCTTTTGATCTCTCTTCTCAGCCAGCTGGCTCTAGTCTGCTGGAAGTAGACACTGATCACTATCAGGAAAAACCTGGAGCCCAGGGAGGGCAACCCTAAAGAGTGTCAAGAGATCAAGGGCACACTTTACTATCTTCATTTATTATTTCTTAGAAGCTGGCTGGTAACATACCAGACTCACAAACTGACACGGTCTCTATCTCCCAGGCTCTGAAGGCATACGTTCCTATCAGTTACTTTTAATAACCCTGAAGATACCCCAGCCACATTCTGTTGCAAACAGGCAAGGTCTGTCTGGTGGGCCAGCGTCCCTTAAGGTCTTTCCCTAGAAGAGCTGTTCTGCCCAGCTGTGCGGCTGCAGTTACGAATTTTCTTATTCACACAGAGATCTGCCTTTCTTTCATTTGCTGAGATCTCATCAGGTCTAATCTCTCAGCACTTTTCCTCTTTCCTTTGTAGAACTCATATGGTCTATTACACTTATGTATGAATCAAAAAAGGACTGGGCTATCTTTTTATACAGAACTTCCTGGAAAAGCCTTACCTCTGGGACCTTCAATTTTCAGGTTTAAAGGAAAGAATTCTGGTCAGTTAACTAATTGAAGTTGTTTACAGAACATATTTCCAATTACAGGGACAAGAACTATATTACCCAAACTGCAGCCACTTGTATACTACCTTTGTTTTCTAACATAACTACATACCATCTGTGATATTCTTCTTTGATATTTCACATTAAATTGTCTCAAGTCTATACTATCCTTACCTTAGACAGTATTTACTAAATCATAGGTTTCATGTGCTAGTTTTAAGCTTTTAAAAAATATTAAAATGTAATTGTTAAAAAGAAATATTTTCCTATCTGCCATCTAAAATTATCTCCGACACCACTCATGATAGTCTCGCATTTTGGGAAACACTCATTTAGAATCTAAGTTTTATAACTACATAAAACTAGGTTTGAGATTTACATGAAGAATTTTATAGAAAAAATGTACTATTTCAACTTAGTCAAAGATGAAGTATTACTACGGTCAGTTCACAATAACTTTGGAAATTAAAAAAATTTAACATATTCTAGAATAATGGAAAATATGTAAAATAAGAATAAATTTGTAGTTGTTATCAAATCCTATGTCTTCAAAAAGCCATCTGAGTTCTTTCTTTTAAACTTCGTCAGTTATCCGTTCAGTTTCTTTTCTGGTTTGTGACAGTGTCTTACTCTGTCACCCAGGCTGGTGTGCAGTGGTGCGATCTCAGCTCATTGCAACCTCCACCTCTAGGGTTCAAGTGATTCTCATGCCTCAGCCTCCCAAGTAGCTGGGATTACAGGTGTGCATCATCACGCCTGGCTAATTTTGTATTTTTAGTAGAGATGGGGTTTTGCCATGTTGGCCAGGCTAGTCTTGAACTCCTGATCTCAGGTGATCCACCTGCCTCAGCTTCGCAAAGTGCTGGGATTACAGGCATGAGTCGCTATGTCTGTCTCCATTCAGTTTTAAATAAATGATCATATCAGAGCATTCCAGTCTGGAGAGAACCAAAGAACACTGCTGTCCATCTGGTTTAACCATACAGTCTGAACTAAAACAACCTAACAAATGCTATCTATTTTTCAATCCCACCCTCAAATCCTACATCTCCAGAAGCAGAAACAAGCTCGGCTGTGATCTATAGTAATTCCATTAATCCTACAATGAAGCATTAAATTAAACTGCCTAGCACAGATGCTTCTGCTACAAGGGAAAATGTATCTTGTAAGGTCTGTATTTTATGCAGATAGATTTACTAAACAACACCATATTTACAGAAGAATACAAATGAGCAGAATAATTTGGCAAATTGTGAAATCTCCAGTGGGGGTGTCGCAGCAACTGATTTTTTTTTTCTGCTAATATTTACTATAAAGATTTTAGTTACAGAGAGTTTAGTTTATCCTTGGAAAGAACAGTTCTCAGGCTGGGCACAGTAGCTCATGCCTGTAATCCCAGCTTCATGAAGCCGAGGCAAGCAGATCACCTGAATTCGAGAGTACCAGACCAGACTGGCCAACATGGTGAAACCCTGTATCTACTAAAAATTCAAAATTAGCTGGGCATGGTGGTACACGCCTGCAATCCCAGCTACTCAGGAGGCTGATGCAGAATTGCTTGAACCCAGGAGATGGAGGTTGCAGTGAACTGGGATTGTGCTACTGCACTCCAGCCTGGGCTACAGAGTGAGTCTGTCTTAAAAAAAAAAAAAAAAAAAAAAGAAAGAAAAGAAAGAGCAAGCAATTCTCAAATGGTTCACATTTCTATGGAATTTTCAAACCCATATTTTTCTTTGTTAATTACAGGAAAAAAGCTGACTCGAACTAGAACCCTAGTAGAAGGCCTTTTGACATCCCTCATATAAATCACAAGCCTGGGCATTGGGGGAATTCTAAGGAGGACACATTCAAGTTAGTGGCAGAGACTGGGCCAGATCCCAAGTTCCTGACAACTCATTCCGTGTTTCCCAGCCCTCCCTGAGAGAACACAAGGATTCTTCTTCAGCAAATTCCATTTCTAGGTGTGATTTTAGTATTTGTCTCTTTGGTATGCTGCCCTATTTCTCTAAAGCCAGATAAGAACAGAAGTCACTTAGCTCTTTGTCAAATGCGTGCCCTGGAGAATAGCAGGAAGCTGTTCTTGTGCTACTATTGGCTTTCCGACATAAAAGGTTTAGTATCCAAAAAGTCTACAGACATTTCCAACCACTTGTATCTAATTTCCATGCTACATTTCATCAACCCAGATGTGGAAAGAGGTCAAATGTTCCAGCAAATCCTTGAACAGCCAGATCATGAAGGGTATTTGAAATCTGCACTGAAATCCAGAATTATAGCACATTAGAGCTGAAAGGGATCCTGGAAATCATAAAATCTAAACCCCTCACTTCATAGGTTGCTCAGGGTCATAGAATCAGTTGGTGTCAGAGCAAGGACTAGAACTAGAAATAGTCCTCTTTCTTTACCACAGTATTTTCTGAAGCTGCTTTCTTCTCAGACAGCAGTGGCAATGGCGCTTGATCAACCTCTATGATGTCAACTACTTAGCATTGGTGTATAAACTCACGTCCTTAAGCGCTGCCTCCTATTACTATGGAACAGGAGGCTTTATGGTAAAGGCTGCTCAGCAAAGGCTAGGAGAGATCCCTTCGGCACAGACCTTCTGTGCCACAGGGTACAATACCTAGAAAGCTGGCTAATGAGAGAGGAAGTAAAGCACATCCCTAGGGCCCATGAACTGACAAAGACACAGTAGCAAAACAGTAACAAAAACCACCCAAGCCTGAACTCCCTATGTTATTGCTGTCAGAAGCACCACCCTACACTGAAGCAGGACTCAAGAACTGTCAGCAGCTCTTTTCTACCTACTGTGCTTGCTCCTAATCCCAGGTACAGATTCCAGATCTCCCCTGCTCTCTGTGGGTTAAAGAAGTCTCCACTCACTCAATATCTTAACCCTCATTTCTCAGGCCACTCTGGAATCACCTCTGCATCTGGCCAGCCCCAAGTGGGGCAAACTTACCTGTCAGCGTCTCCGAGGCCCAGGGAGGTATTTCGTTGCAGGGTCTCCCGTACCACAGCCATCCCATCAGGGAGCCGGTTCAGGCGACGGGTGTAGAGGCCAAGTCCACCATCAGTCATGTATCTTTAAAAGGAGAAGAGGATGATGCACATGAATGTTAAAAGCAAGTGGCTTGCAGGCTTGCATTCATATCCAGAAGCCTGCCCAGCCACCAAGTGCTCTAAGGGGAAAGGAACTGAGGATTCCCTGAGACTGGCACCGATCACAGCCCAAGGATAACTCAGTTGCTGATCCAACCTACAGGATCACCAGCTTGCTAACAAAAAAGAAAAAAAAGAGAAAGAACTCAGCTTAATTAGCCCAAAGTCACAGGAACGTATGAAGCAGAAGGAAATTAGTGAATAAAATTAACTGTCAGGTGGATTCATGACATTCTTTTTAATGTCAGTGATTAAACAAGCAGGTGTTTTACCTGAGTAATGGAAATGGAACTGACAAATCATTAGAAAATCGTAGGCAATAATATTCCAGAACAGTGCAGTGGTAAAAGAAGGCAAGCTTTTGAGAGGCGGGAAAGAAAGGATAGAGGATGGATGAATGACCTTTGCCATCACAGGCAAGTCACTTTCCTGGGTTGTGAGTTTTCCACCCGAACTATAGGACTGTCACAGCCTGTGACATATAGGAATATCACAACATGGGCATGAGAATTAGTGAGATAAGAAATATGAAAGTGCACTCCAATTTGTGTAAGACTACATAAGTGGAAGAAATTATGGTTGTCATGATCATGGGTGAATTTCACCCTTGATACTGATGTTTTAAGGAGGCTGTCACAAAACTCTGTGAAGAACACTAATGATAGTTTATTCTTTTCTTGGTAGGATAGCTACATAGCTGTCTTCTGATGAAATCAGTGCTGTCCTGGAAAGGGAGGATGTCTGGAACTTTCTGTACAGATGGCTGATTATCTACCAACCAGACAAGTTCCTGAAAGCTTAACCACTAGTAGGAGGTAGCTCAGTCCAAGGCAGCTGTACCTCCCATGTACCCCGGCTTCCTCACAGCCCCCATAAAGGAGACTGGTTGTGTCATTTCCCTCATCTTCAGAAGAGAACAGGAAAGCAAAGCAAAACTTGGGCAGAGCCAAAAACCAAACTTGGGTCCCTTTAATCCCTCATAGGAGCCATCAGATCGCCCTGCAAGGTATCTGAAAATGCAAGCATTTTACATTTCAAATCGAATGATATGTACTAAGAGGACCAACGAGTCACTATTTTCCTGAGACAAAGTCAGCTCAGGTAAATCATGGAAAGCTTTACTGCACTTGGCATTTTAGCTTTTGCATATATGGAGTCAACCCTGAGGGGTTTCTAGTCCTTGAATTTCTTCTACCTCTAGCTGGAAACCTTTATGGGACATATTTTTCAAGAACAGAGTTATGAGGTGCAGGGGAGGCTGCCCAGACCTGGAAGTTCAAGTAAGGGGCAGAGAAGAGAACTCTCACTGGAGTTATCTCATGTGAAAAGCACCTTCCAGAATGGGTCAGAGGAACCCAGGAAGCTTCTAGGTTATTGTGTCTAAACTCAACATCTCCAATGTTCCTTTCTCCTCCCTTTATGACATTAATGATCACAGAGGTCACAATGTCAACATAATGAAAAATCTGTTGGAGTAAATCAGACCAATTATTTGTGCTTGTGCTGAAAACGCAACAGAAGAGACTGAAGTTTTCACTGAACTTTATCATTTTAAAAACCACTCTGTGAATATACTAAAAACCATAGAATTGTGTGCCTTAAAATGGTGAATTTTATGACATATAAATTAAATATCAATAAAAATACAAAAATCAATTGCAGCTATAGTTAAATAATTATTTGTCTAGTTGCTCTTCAGTGCATGTCTCTTATACTAGATAGTAAGCTCTTTGTAGGCGGAGATTCTTAGTTTCTTCAAATCTATATCCCATGTGCTTAGTACATACTAGGTGCTTATTAAATACTGTTTTTGTTGAATGAATCAACACAGGAATGAATGAAGCTCAAAGACACAGCCATAGGGTGAGGCTTAGCAAACATTTTTTGCAAGAACACAGATTACAGGTTTTCTTTCCACTTAAGCATTAATCAACTTACATTTAAGACATAGGGCAAGCAAATTAAACTGTCGATCTGCCAATCATCCATCTATCCAGCTATCCATCCATCCATTGACCCTCCAACAGACAGAGTGACTCAGGGTAGATCAATGGGTTACAGCATCTATCTTACAACCAGCACAAGGAGGAAAAAACACTTGCACCAAAATGCTGTAACTTTGCCAGAGGCTGGACTTTGTAGATCACATGTCCTTTCAAGGAGAACTCAGTGGAAGCTCTTCAAAAGACAATGTATTGCACCATTAAGCAAGACAGTTAATTTTGATTTTAGCAAATTCTGCCCAGCCAGTTAGATAAACAAAATTCTTTCAACTGGGGAGATCTCGTCAAAGGACAAACTAATTTTAGCATTTATTTCCCTGCTGGATTTTTATTGCTAGTGAAACAACACACACGGTTGGGTAATTACACACACCCAGGCATGTAGACAAGGCCCACACATACAGAACCCTGGCTTTCTGCTAAGGCCAGACTGTGGAGGCTGGTAAGCATTCCAGACATGGAATGCTGAGATACATTGCAGCCCCAGCCCAGCCACACCCGCGTGAAATGTGGATTTGTCAGAAAATGGCAACTCAAAAAAGTGGGAAGGTCCCTGAGAAATGGAAATGAAATGAAACTGAACATGTGAACTGAGCTTGCTGCTGGGAATTCTGACTTTGTTTTGGCAGAGGGAAGGGGAAAGGCAAACCTAAAGCAGGACCTTCTGCCTTCTTGAACCGCAGGAAGAACTGGAAGTCAGGGAGCTGAATGCAACAGGGAGCTGACAATGATCTAATTTCAAGACTGCAAGTCTATCTCACTTACATGTGCATGCAGAGGGAGGGAGGGCACAGGGGTGAGAAAAAACGGGTACCTTACTTCTTCTTCTAGAGATATGTAAACACATGTTCAATCGTTTTTTAAACAATCATATTCTTTAAAATGAATTTTGTTGTATGTCTCTCCCTGGGAGACGCCACAGCACCACAGGCAGAGCTGTGGATAGAGCCAGCCTCACACTCAATAAACTAATTTAAAATATTTCTAAATTACTAGCCACCAATTACGATGATTTATAAACAGCTCTGTATCTCTTTTAAAATAACTCCTCTATTATACAGTCAATGAAAAATACACAAATTTGGGTTTGCTGGACCAAAATTTTTACATGAATTGGCTATACATGAATATGGACTGCCTTAACCAAGTTAAGCCCTTAAGAAAGCATCATTTACAGATGAAGCAGCCATGGCTGTGCTTATCCGAAACGCTGGCTTCTTCGCAGGGCTGGTAGAAAAGCTGTGTTTCTGAAGGCTCAGGGAGCCAGCAGGCTGATGGCCTCATCCTGGGTGGGGAAGAAATGACTTGCCTGAGGTCGCAAGCAAAGGAACCAGCTGATCCAAGAACTGAATCTCAGAACACCCATGCCACACTCTCCTCCTCCTTGGAGAGAGATATAATTAGTGCTGGAGCCTAATGAGGTGCTGGTAACATCTTAATGTCTTCTGAGTGGGCTCCTGCCTGAGCTGCCAAGCTACTGAACCATCCCCACATTACCCTCCCGAGTTCTGCAGTGATGGGTGGGTGGAGGAGGCTCTCTGCATCCACATTCTAAAGCTTCCCCAGAGACACCTGGATGCAAAGAGTGAGAGCCTTTGCTAAAGGGACAAGGTGTCTATGGGGTATTTTTCTTGCTTCCCTGGAGTGACCCATGAGCATCAGCGTTAAGGAACATGACGCTCTTCTTAGAACTAAGTTGTTCAAATGCCTCCTCTGCCCCTTGCTGGCTGAAGGACTGAGTATACATTGTTGTTAGTAAGCACTGGGTACTGTGTTAAGTGTTTCACATAAATCATGGCGTTCAACCTTCAAAACAATTTTATCAAGTGTATTATCATCTCTATTGTTCCAGTGAGGAAAACAGAACTGTGGTTAAGATCCCAGCACAGGCAGGTTGGTTCAAATCCCAACTTTGCCACATTTCAGTGCCATTTCTTCTAGTTTTAGTTTCCTCACAGGATTGGGGCAGGTTAAATGAGATAGTGCATATGTTTAGAAAGCCCAGTGCCTGGCGTGCAGGGAGCACTTCATAATAGCACTTCACGTAACTGCTAACAGGAATGGCAAGACCTAGTTCCTGCTCTGGTGAAGCTCAAAACCTACTGAGGACTAAGACATGCAAATAGCTCTACCTCTAAATAAAAGTGATATAACAGATGAATGCATGACTGGCTTCGAGAACACATGGGAGAAAGCATCACAGAGGAGCGCTGTTTAAGTTGGCCCTAAAGGGTGCAGGGGAGTTTGCCAGCCAAAAGGGGATCCATCTAGACACATGGATAACACATGCAAACGCGGAGAGAAATGGAAGAGGAAGGGATGTTCAGAGAAGAGTAAGTAGTTCATTGTTGCTGGAACACTGGGAATGCAGCCAGGAACTAGGCTGCATGGGGCTTGGGGGATGGTTTTGAACACCTTGGATACCAGGCCTTTGCCTGTGTAGGGGATACATGAAGGTACTAATGAGTAACAGGCTCTGGCTTCTGTTTCAAAGAGAACACCAACTTTTCAATTCTTCCATCATTTTGTATTCCATCTTTGGGGAACATTTTCTCATCAGGATTTCCTTCTATAGATTTTTCAGAACATACCATGTCCTAGTCCTGAGTCACCCCAGATCTCTGGGGGGAAGACCAGACTTGTAGGCTAGACCTCACCATCCCTCCAGTCAAAACAGACCTGTGAAGGCAACATGACTTTTACAAAAGGAACTTTCTCTACAGAATGGGCTGGTAACTGACACTAGCTATGAAAAAGCTGTGGAATCTAACAGGACCTGTTAGAACAAATACTCTAGACTTCAAGCCCAACATTTAGTAAATAGATTTCTTCCCCTTCTTTAACCGTAATGACGCAACAATTGGAACCAAGTGAAACTGACTTTGTGAGTCACCTTCAGAAGCGGGGAAAGGTGGCTTCT